CCCCCCCCCCCCTTCCCAATTCAAAGATAAGTTTTGTTAAAAACGAACTTCTCATCACTAAGTGACATTCTTGCAACATTCCATATAATAATTAACTCATGATACCCGATACATCACTACCCAGCCAATTTTTTGCATGTAGTTTAATACTACATCCTTAATAGATTTTTTAAAAAAATTGTTTTGTGCAGAATTTTGTATTAAATAATTTTTTAAGAACTTGGGGTCCCCTGAACATTGGGGTCTTGGGCCCATGCAGTCATGCCTGCTGTCAGATAAGTTTCTAAATGATTCAAGTTGGGCCCATTTTTTATGTAAGGTTGGTCCTAGCACAGACCCTTAGACATTCCTATGGTTATTGTTTCAACATTTCATTTTAACTTTAAGTAATGTATTTTCTGATTGCTAGAAAATTTATGTCCATTGTGTACGTCCTATGAGATATAATCTTTTGAGGTCATTAATTGAACCCCTTATTCCAAAACAGCTTTGTTAGCAGAATTGTTAAGCTTTGTTATCCGAATTTTGTAAGACACACTATCAAATGCTTTTGAGAGGTCAATGAATATACATGCTGCTTTTCAGATTGCTTCCAAATTTCTAAGAATTCGTGAATGAATTCAACAACTACAGTTGTAGTGGAGAAACCTTTCCTGAAACCATGTTGTGACTTATTATCAAGGATAATATAAGCTTCCACAAAGATACTGAGTTATACTAAGATAACTTTTTCATAGAGTTAGTTAAAAACAGAGGTAAGGGTTAAAGGTTTGTAATTTCTTATATCTTGGGCATCATTTTTCATAGCTAATGGTCTCACAATGCCAATTTCTAGTGAGTCTGGAAATATGAAAGCAGATTAATATAAATTTATTAACTTACATTTTTTAAGAACTATGGAACATATTTCATATAATCTTGGTAACTATTTTTGCAGGACTTTATCAACTGATTAACTTTAGGAACATTAGTGTGATGAAGAACGTAGAATTTGTAATTCTAGGAGAAGAAAATGGGTTGCTTTTACTTTATCAAGTTTAGAGTTGAATTGATTATTAAAGGGCTTACAAATATCAGAAGAATTATCAAGTATCAAACCTTCCTTCAAGTAGTAGGTGAATATTTCAGTCTGGTTTTTTGAATTATTTATTCATTATCATCACCATCATGAACTGATCAAAAAATGAGGCTCTATAGCCTGTAACTATTAGTTTATTCTAGTATTGTAAGAAGATTGTTGGGCTTCAAGTGTTCCTGCTGTTGCCACCTCTTTAGACGTCTCTCCGTATCTGATACTTCCAGATTAATTTTGGACATCTGTTCTAGTTCATTCTCTGTAAATGATCATTCAATCTCCCTTGAGGCTGTTCTATCTCTTCTACTAAACATTTGTTTTTCAATTTCTTTCTGATTTCTTAATTTCTTAGTTTGTCTCTTCTGGTGATTGCCATGAGGTGTCTTAGAAATCTCATGTGTGCTGCCTGTAGTTTTTGTTTCTCTCTCTCTTTTATTGCCTATGTTTCTAGGTTTATCAGCTATATTGTGGAGATTCAGTTTTGTTTCCTGGTCCATGTCTGCCAAAGTCTCCCTTGATTGTTATTAAGTTATTTTTCTATGTCTTCCTGAGTTTGGTTGTATAAACTTATGTTATTTCCAAGGTATACAAATTTATTTACTTGTTCCGCTATCCACATTCAGTAATAAATTAATGTTTTATTTTAGTTTTTAATTAGTTCACTTTAGTGTTTCTCAATTGAAAAGTATAAATCTTTTTCTACTTTTTGTATAATTTGCATAAATTCTCAATATTTCTCTGCATTTTCTTTAATTGATCCACTTAAATCGATTCTCCATTCAAGCCAATAAAGCTTTTTAATGAGTTTTGTATAGTTTGTCTTAGTAGTCATTCTTAGTATTTCTGAACAGATCATACATATTTTATTTCTAAGAACTAAGATTTCTTTAGGAAGTTTAATTTTGTGTCTTTTGACAAGGGTAGAGGCAAAATTTAAGTAATGGTTTAATTTATTAAAGAACAAATTCCATATCTCATTGATATCATTGCGATTACACATATCTTTGCAATCTTTATTTAAGAGATAATCATTAAGTAACTGTATTTTGGTTTCACTTGTTTTACTAGTGAATGCATGTTTAGGTTGTTCAAAATTAATAGGACAATTGATTATTTCAGTAATTTGTGCTCTGTGGTCAGGTATACGAAAATCAATGTTAAATGAGAAGTAGTTATCCATTTCAATATTTGTAACGATGTGGTGTATGGTTAAGCTGAAATGGGTCATTATGCATATTGGTCGTAATGCTACATCATGGTGACAGAAATATTTTAGGAGATCATTTAGTTCCATATAATCAGCATTGATATTCAGATCTTCCAGAATACGAAGCCTTCTAATTTAAGCAGGTCACTGCCATTGGAATTAGGAGATATACAGATGCCAAATATTTTGTGTTTATAATTGTTCCTGCAACTTAAAAGATAATTTCAACACTTGAATCTTTTATCCAGTCAATTGATTCTCAATTTACAGTATTGTTAACAAATATTGCAACACCACAACTTTTATCGAATTCTCTAGAGAAGCATAATTGAAGTTGTCATTGGTGATATTGATCAGATTTATTTCATTATACTTAAAACCATATTCTGTAATGACTCATATAAGCACATATGTTTCTAATCTTAAATGCATGTCTACAACACGTTGCTAAAAGACGTAACACAATTTAAATTGATTCGCAAGTGCTTGTGCCAAATAAAATCTTATGCTGCGTAACTGTTTCCTTACTTTTAGAGACTATATTAAATGAAAACGAAAATAATATTCATTTCAATAATGATATTAATGCATTAAATTTCTATTATATTTCAAAATTATAAAAGTTTGAATATGTCTGTAACAAGTATTGCAATCATCTTTTCAGTGGTTTCAGTATGTTTTTCATGCAATTTTCTTTGATTCTATCAGAAAATGTTGGGATTGTTCCTTGCTAAGTTTCTAATCAATAATAATAATAATAATAATAATAATAATAATAATAATAATAATAATAATAATCAATACATATCATTTCTGTTAGCAACTACATAAAATTTAACAAAATTATTTCATTCTATATTTAAAACTTGAAATGGTGAGGAAGAGGAGACAAGTTTTGAACAGTTATTTTCTTCTTTCAATATGTAGTCCTACTGCAGCACCTAATGCGTTAAGCAGGAAAGCTTTCAATTTACTTTTAAATGTATGAATTTAATATCATTGCCTAATTTGGTGTAAAGTATAATGGCCTCTATTAGGGTTCTTTTTTGATAAAGTGTAGTTTTAGAGTGGGGAACATGTAGGTTATCCTTTTGACGGGTGTTGTAGTTGTGTACATCGGAATTTAAAGTAAAAGTTTAATTGTTTTCTATGAGAATTTTCTTTGTGAAGACCACTATTTCAAATATATGTATTGTAGAGGAAGAATCCTTAGTTTATTGAACAAGGGTTTGCAAGACTCCAGTTTATGAGTGCTGGTCATTGTTCCCAATATTATTTTTTGGATAATAAATGTGCGAGTGCTTTCAGGGGCATTT